GCAGTCCCCGGTAACTTGTGCAGTCCACCTTTACCCCTTGCTGTACCCAGTAACATTCGGTGTGTGTATGTGTGAGTGTTGCAGTCCCCGGTAACGTGTGCAGTCCATCTTTACCCCTTGATGTACCCAGTAACATTCGGTGTGCGTATGTGTGAGTGTTGCAGTTCCCGGTAACTTGTGCAGTCCACCTTTACCCCTTGCTGTACCCAGTAACGTTCAGTGTGTGTATGTGTGAGTGCTGCAGTCCCCGATAACTTGTGCAGTCCATCCTTACCCCTTGCTGTACCCAGTAACACTCGGTGTCTGTGTGTGTGAGTGCTGCAGTCCCCGGTAACTTGTGCAGTCCATCTTTACCCATTGCTGTACCCAGTAACATTCGGTGTGTGTATGTGTGAGTGCTGCAGTCCTCGGTAACTTGTGCAGTCCATCTTTACCCCTTGTTGTACCCAGTAACACTCGGTGTATGTGTGTGTGGGTGTGGGCTGCAGTTCGGTCCCTTCCCCATTTTTGCTGTGACCGGTGACTTCCGAAAGTGATACGGGGCAGCCAGGCACCCGAAGTAGAAAACGGAGGCACGGGGCGAGAAGTTAGGATACGTCCAACGGGCCTTCTTTCACGTCCATCCACCATAGCCAACTACCTCCAACCCTTCTTCTTCCTCCATCACCCACACCCGTCCACCATAGCCAACCACCTCCAACTCTTCTTCTTCCTTCATCACCCACACCCGTCCACCATAGCTAACCGCCTCCAACCCTTCTTCTTCCTTCATCACCCCCACCCGTCCACCATAGCCAACCACCTCCAACCCTTCTTCTTCCTCCATCACCCACACTTGTCCACCATGGCTGACCACCTCCAACCCTTCTACTTCCTCCATCACCCACACCCGTCCACCATAGCCGACCACCTCCAACCCTTCTTCTTCCTCCATCACCTACACCCGTCCACCATAGCCGACCACCTCCAACCCTTTTTCTTCCTCCATCACCCACACCCGTCCACCATAGACGACCACCTCCAACCCTTCTTCTTCCTCCATCACCCACACCCGTCCACCATAGCCGACCACCTCCAACCCTTCTTCTTCCTCCTTCACCCACACCCGTCCTCCATAGCCGACCACCTCTAACCGTTCTTCTTCCTCCATCACCCACACCCGTCCACCATGGCTAACCACCTCCAACCCTTCTTC